CATCCTGTGTGTGGTGACAGCCTTGTCTTCGGGTCCCGCCCTGTCTATGATTGCATGCTTTTTGACTGCGAAGGATTCTTCATTTGCCAGGAGGGAAAAGGAAAAAGAAGAGGAAGAGGAAGGAGCATGAGAACCAGGTCAGTGACTTGCCAACTTGCCTCAGGCTAATTCTTATAACTAGGTGAGTGAAGAGTCAGGGATGCTGAGAGAGTTCCAGAAACCTGTAGAATCTACACTGTACATGATTACTTGGTGGATCCTCTGCAGAGAACGCTGTGAGTTTCCAAGTTTTACATCTGTGCTTTTCACCAACCTGGGTCAAAATATTAAAAAAAAAAAGATTTTGAACGTGAGTAGGCTTTGTTCTTATTAATTCTTACACAATACAGCAAACAGTTATTTACATATCATTTACATTGTGTTGTCTTCCAAGTATTCCAGCGATGGTTCAAGATTCAACATATATAGGTTATATGCAAATTCTTCACCATTTATGTGACAGACTTGAGCATCCAATGAGTTTGAGATCTGGTATTCTGAACCCTATTCCACTTTGGCTGTGGAGGAACAACTGCATTCATTTGCTAGGGCTGCCTTAATATATGTTCACACTCCAGATGACTTAAATGACAGATATGCCTTGTCTTATGGTTCTAGCAGCTGAGAGGCTGACATCATGGTGTCAACAGGGGTGGCTCCTTTTCAGGGATCTGGGGGAGAATGGTCAGGTCCTGGCTCTCTCCTGGGATTCTGCATGACCTTCACCTTGTATTGCTTCACCTCATCTGTATGCATTCCTGTGGGCAAATATCCCTTTGTTATTAGGATGCTATTCTTACTGGATTGAGGGTCATCCCAATGAGCTCATTTTGATTCACATGTACAGATAGCACAGATTTAGGGCACATTAGAAAACACAGGCAGCCTGGATGTACTTGGCAATCACATAATAACCAAGACCAGAAGAGATTTTAGGCGGGCTCTAATCTAAGAGGGCTAGAGGTTTTATTAGAAAATCTAGAGATACAGAAGGGGAAAAAATGAGCAGAGAGAGACAAAGGTTGGGGTGGCAGGGCTGTAAGTCAAGGGGCCGCTAGAAGCTGGAAGAGAAAAAAAGGACTCTCCATGAGGGTTCAGAGGAAGTATGGCTCTGGTTTGTCCCTGTCTGTGAGAGAACGTATTCCCATTGCTGTCAACCACAGTTTGTGATACTTTCTTATAGCAGCCTTAGGAAACAAACATGGTCTTGCTTCCTGTGTGAAAACCAAGGCCATTCCAGTGCCCTCCTCTGATGATTCCAACCTATACCATCCCAACGAGTCTGCTTGCACACAAGTCCTTATAATGCCTCTCCAGTCTGTGACTTGGAAAAGGTGTTTTATTTGGTGTTCAAGGTTAAGTCTCCACTTACATCTTCAAGTGGTCCTTCCACCTCTCGGTATATCCCCTTCTTCAAGCTTATTCCTCAGTTCATGAATAAATACCTTGTCATTGTGGCCACTTCCACGGTGCCCTGTACTGGTTAGGTTTTTCTTGTTAATCTGATAACAAGCTGGAATCATTTGGGAAGAGAGAACTTCAGACTGAGGAATTGCCTCTCTCAGTTTGGGATGTAGTCAAGTCCATTACAGGGATTCTTTTTAGTTGTTGTTGTTGTTGTTTTGTTTTGTTTTTTTGAGACAGGGTTTCTCTGTGTAGCTTTGGAGCCTATCCTGGCACTCGCTTTGGAGAACAGGCTGGCCTCGAACTCACAGAGATCTGCCTGCCTCTGCCTCCTGAGTGCTGGGATTAAAGGTGTGCGCCACCAACGCCCGGCTAGGAGGATTCTTATGCATCCATGCATTTCTTTCTGTTGTGGGAGAATTGTTCGCACTGTTACTCCACTGTGCCAATAAAGTTTACCTTGAATCAGAGTGCAGAGCTATAGACTAGCTGACCAAAATTAGCCATAGAGGTTTTGGAAGACCAAGGACATATTCCGGAAGTCGTAGGGAGGGGCTTTTGGATGGAGGAAGGAGACAGAGAGGAAGTCACTGGTCACTTCGCTCCTTCTCCTATCAATCAGACTTTAACCCCATATATTACTTCAGAGTTTTTATTGAGAATAGAACAATTTAGATAACTTGTTAACACCTTTCTGCTGGTGTTGTTTGTGATTTTAGCCCTTTTCTTTTTAGGAAAATCTCATTTGCATGCAGCGTCTGGATGTGAGCTGTCCGCAGGGCCAGGAGCCCTCCAAATGTGGCAGAGACCCCACCCACTCCTCTGTTCTTTCTCTCTTCCAAGCATTCCTGGCCTTGTGACAGGCCTCTGCCTGTCTCTCTTCACAGCATTCTCCTCTGCCCGGGCCTCCAGTCTTCCTCCCATCTCTTGTGAGGACAAATAGTTAATGCAGGATGACTTCATATCAATACATCTGCAGCAATCTTTTTCCACATAAGGCCATATTCATCTGATTCCGAGTAGGCTTATCTTTTGAGGGACCAATACTCAGTCCGCTCTCCGTACTCTGCCGAACAAGTGTCCCCCGGGGACCCTCTGCTGTAATCCGACATCCTCTGCCCTTGTCACTTATCAAATGGCTTGTCCTAAATCTTGCCTTCTTGGCCCATCTGCTCTCTCCTAGTTCATCCCCTGGGCAGCATCAAAAATGATCTTTCCACAATATGAAACCAACCACCTCACTCTGCCGCTTAAAAAAGTGGGTTTCTGGAGAGCTGGACTGCAGCAGACCTATAATGCTGAATATTTCATGACCTGCATGAAATAGCAATGGAAACGTCCCCCTGCACCCCTGCTTTAAGCTGTAGAAAATGTGCTCCGGTTTTCAGAGTAGAGCGATCGAAATGCTTTCATCTGAGCCATGTCTGTTGCATGCACCCCTCAACTCGGACGCTTGAACTAGCGAATCGTTGTATTGGGGCTCCAGGTTCTACCTGGTTTTATTTAACTCAGTGGTTCTCAACCTTACTAATGCGATGACCCTTTAATACAATCCCTCATGTTTTGGTAACCCTCAACCATAAACTTTTTTTCGTTGCTACTTCATAACTGTAATTTTGCTACTGTCATGAATCATAATATAAATATCTGATATGTGACACCTGTGAAAGGGTTGTTTGGCCCCACAGGGGTCTCGACCCATAGATTGAGAAACATTGTTCTAACTGGATACAATTTAAATATGCACACTTTCTTAAAGTGAATTTGGAAACTCCACAATCCCTCAGAGGAAGCAAGCTTCCAGATGTTTCATACTGTCAACTGGTTCCCTTAGACCCCCATATGAGATGATATCCTTATGTCCCTCACACTTAGTCTCAGATGGGGAACTCAGGATTCTCACTATGCATGAGCTAACACAAGAGTAAGAAGTGGTCAGCCTGGACCCAACCCCAATTCACTCCAGATGGTTCGTGCTTTACTAATGTACATTCACAAAGTCAAATCAGAAGGGACAATACTTAGGAAAGACACATCAATGCCCCTTATAAAGTGTCATGTGTGCTCAGCAGGTATTCTACCAACTGAGCTATGTCCCTAGGCCCAGCAAATCATATTTTAAAGAACCCAATTGTCAAGACGATAATTAAGACACAAATCAGAAAGGCTCACGGTTGGCTGGGTGTATAGTCGATGGTAAAGCATTAGCCTGGTGTATGTACACGAGGCCCTGAGCTTGATACCCAGCCTTGCGAAACCACAACCAAAACCAAAACCCCAAAACAAGTAATCACCAAGTAGATTCTTTCTCAATAGGATTGTCTAAGACAACTCAGCCAGACCCCTGGCATGATGCCTCCCACCCCTCCAGGATGGATTCTTTTTAATGTGCCATGGCAGCTTGGCTTCTATTCTAATTTTAACGCTCTTGAGATAGCAAGTGACAGAAACATAACCCAAGTCTGGCAATAGTGTATATTGGCTCAGGAATTGAAAAGCTTAGGGAAATGGTTTGCTTTAGTCCTGCTTGAATCCAGGGGCTTACAGAAATGTCATCAGGGCATGGCTGCTTTCTCCATCTTTCACTTTCCCTTCCCTTCTGTGGCTCTGTTCTCAAGATGTCTCTCACCAGGTGGCACCTAGCAAATGAAGTCTTATTTCTCACTAACCCCACAGCCCCAGAGACAAAACACTTGTCCTTGGTCTCCATGGGGATGGATTCCAGGCCTTTCCAGGATGGCCAGGCATGAAGGTACTCAAGTCCCTTATTTCAAAGGCATCTCATTTACATATAACCTATGCTGTCCTCTCCAGTACTTTAAACGTTCAGATCATGACACAGAGCATGTAAATGCTATGCAAATAGTGGGTCTACTGGGTTGTTCAAGGAATGATAGCAAAGTCCTTGCAGGTTCAGGTCAGGTGAGATCGTTTCTCTGGATCAGATATGAAGTGCCCACTGTCCTTCACTCTCCAAGCCCTGCCACCACCGAAGTTTTAAGATTGGTATATACTACCCCAGTTTGGGTGGCATTTCTGTCCTTAACACAATCCTAGCTACTGGCAGTCCAACTTATGTTTGGATCCAGTGATGGGTTTGCTCTATCAGAGTCACTCCAGGGTAGAAATGTGGTTTCCCAATAAATCACTACAGTATGATTTCTAGAAAAAGAGCACTGGATACTGGGCAGGCAGAATAGCAATATACCAGAATATGAGTTGGCAATAAGCAAAACAGCAACAAGCAAACAGAAAAGCACTGTCTGTAATTTTACTATTTGGTAGTCCAAAGGGACTTGATGAAATTCAATGATGCAAATATGATATGTGCATATGTGTATATATGCATATACAATTTTATATACACACATTTCTTTTTTTGGGGGGGTTTCAAAACAGAGTTTCTTTGTAGCTTTGGAGTCTATCCTGCAACTAACTCTTGTAGACCAGGCTGGCCTCGAACTCACAGAGATCCGCCTGCCTCTGCCTCCCGAGTGCTGGGATCAAAGGCGTGCACCACCACAGCCCAGCCATTTCTTTTTTCTTTTCACAGAAGAATCAGGTAATGGCAATCAAGACTTATAGTCCTGATGACACAGAGTCTTAATCACAGATCAAGGCAACTCTAACCACTATACTCTTATCTGCCTTTCCAAAGAAGGAATGTGTAAGGACTGTCCCATTTGAAGCATGTTATACTTTGCTTTTTGTTGAAGGCACAGCTTCTGAAGCTAGTCAGGTGCTAGTCTATATGAGGTGTGTGTTTGTTTGAGATGAGGCCCTGGCTAGTCTTGAACTTGCATTTCTCCTCCCCTGGCCTCCAGAATGCTGTGGCTACAGTCACGAACCACCTTACTGGCTTCCCTATGAGATCATGTGAATAGCCAGGTTTGCTTAGGATGTGCAGGAACCGTTAGGCTTTAGGATTGGTGGGGTTCTCATGTGCCTATATGTCCCTTCCTTAATAATTGCATCAGGCATCATAATTGCATCCCCTGAACTCTTGGGGACCATCTCCCAATAGTTGCAGTCTGACAAAGCAAACCATTGTCACTTCTAGGTTTTTTTCTGCACCAGAAAGTGAAAGTGGCAGCCACTCAACACCAATTTAATGAGTGCAATTTGTCTGTTTCAAAGTTTAGAAATGTGTTCTTTGGGTACTGGAGAGATGGCTCAGCAGTTAAGAGCAAGTATTGTTCTTGCAGAGGACCTAAGTTCAGTTCCCAGCACCCACAATTGGGGGGGGGGGTTCACAACTGCCCGTAACTTCAGCTCCAGGGGATCTGATGCCTTTTTCTGGACTCTGAGGGTACCTGCATTTATATATACGATGTGCTGGAACTCTAATCTAAGGCTTCCTGTGTGCAAGGCAAGTACTCTCCCAACTGACCGGCATCCCTGGTCTTTCTCTCCACACCTTTTTCTTGAAGATGGCTTATCAATTCTGTCCTTGAGAGAGGGAAGCTAGTGTGTGGAGATAGCCCAACCTGTTCACTTTGGAGAGGTTTCTATCATGAGGTGTTTTCTCCCACATTGACTTACAGTTGTTCTCTTTAAATCCCAAGACTCTTTTAAAGCAACAATGTGAGTTTTGAGCTATCTCTTCGTTACATATTTTAGCGGTCGAGCAGGGTTTCCAAGGTCCCTTGGGTGTTTCTGTGTGAGTCCAAGGCTCATCACCGTGATTTCAGATCAGTAACAGGCAGGCTTCTGGAATGTGTGTATGGTTTCAGTATAAACAGTCCCCAAACTCATGTATCAACCTGACAAAGTCTAGATTCAAAAGTTCGTTTCAAGGAGAAAAATGGGGAGGAAGGGAAGAAGAGGAGGAGGAGAAAGAGGAGGAGGAAGGGGAAAAAAGGAGGAGTCACTCTTTTAGAAAGAATAGCAAACTCATAAAGCCAAGATGTGTTCATTCAACTAGTTTAGAGTTCAAGTAAAGCATGTAAGAGCAAGCTAAACTGCAAGTCCCCATTGTCATTGCATCTTCAAAAAGGCCAGGTGAAAGGACAATCTCCCTTGTCTTGCTGTGACCAGGCAGCTGACCAGCACCACAGTGCATTGCCTCCAGGGTGTGTCTGGTTATTACCCTTCTTGCTCTGAGACATTGTAATTCAAAGAGATGAGTGAGGGCCTCAGGTCAGACAGAACCCTCCTTTTGGGGGCTAGGATTGCCCATGGGCACTCTGACTTAACACAGGTAATCATTAAAGATGACTCATACACCCCATGGATGCAGATCACTACCCCAAAGCTATTCTCATTTCCAGAGAAAACAAACTCCCATGTGAATTTTTATCATATTCTTGGGATGTTTGTGACGATCCCCTTCTCCCATGGTTTTCTCAGACTTCTGAAGTGTAACTCAACCATCAGTCATGTTTTCCAGAGAGCCAAGGATGCAATTTGCTCATTGATATTTGACTTATGCTATGGGTCAAGTTAAATCAGCAAAGGACAGAAGGAACAAGGTCATATGTTTGAGTGAAACATTAGAAACAAATCCAGTAAACTGTCGAGGGAAAATGATGGGATTTATGAGCAAAATCAAGGCTTTATAAAACTCTATAGTTCCGTGTTAAGTAAGTACAATTGTGAGGCAAACTGTTTCAGTGGTATGTTTATTCACATGAATGCAAAACTATACATCAAATGGATACTAAAAAACAAACTATAGGCTGGCCCTGGTGGCATATATCTATAATTCCAGCTACCTGGAGGCTGAGACTGGAGGATTGTAAGTCTGAGGATTGTTTCAACTACAGAGTGAGCTTAAAGATGGCCTGGAAAAGTTAGTGAGACCCTGTCTCAAAACACCACAGTAAAAAGAGGTCTGGGGATATATATACCTCAGTAGTAGAGCTCTTGCCTAGCACATATGAAGCCCTGGGTTTGATTCTCAGGACTACAAAAACAAACAAACAAAAAATAAAAACCAGGGGCTGGAGAGATGGCTTAGAAGTTAAGAGCACTGACTGTTCTTCCAGAGGTCCTGAGTTCAATTCCCAGCAACCACATGGTGGCTGACAACCATTTGTAATGAGATCTGGTGACCTCTGCTGGAATGCAGGCAGAAGACTGTATACATAATAAATAAATAAAATCTTAAAAAATAAACAAATTAAAACTCCTATAGTCTATTCAGCCTGTTCGTATTGGAAGCTGCAACTCTTTGAGTTCTAGTTGCTTTTGCTAATCAGTCAAAAACAAAATCGGACAGACAGTCCAGGCTGGTGCCTCAGGGATGCAGACAAATGTCATTGTCAAGATGGCAGACAAGTCTTACTTGAACTGTTTCTGTTGTCTCCATGCCTTTTGGCTCACCTTCCTCTAATCCATCCTCTCCAGCACCATGATAGTAATTTCTGCAGAAAAAAATGCTCCTAGAGTGACCTAGTGATCCTGTCTGACTCTAGGCTCTCTGAAATTGGGCTACAGTACACTTTTCTTTTTGTTGTTTTTTCTTCCTTCCTTCCTTCCTTCCTCCCTTCCTTCCTTCCTTCCTTCCTTCCTTCCTTTTTATTTTTCGAGACCGGGTTTCTCTGTGTAGCCCTAGCTGTCCCGGAACTCACTTTGTAGACCAGGCTGGCCTCAAATTCACAGAGATCCATCTGCCTCTGCCTCTTGAGTGCTGGGGTTAAAGGTGTGCACCACTACACCCAGTTTACAGGACACTTTTCTAATCCTATCTTCCCCCATGCTACCAGAGCACCCATCTTGATCTCTTAAGATTCATCCAAGACTCATCCTCAAAGTGCTTGTACCAAGGCCCCCTCACCTTCCTATAGAAGTCAGCTATAAAGTCTTGTAAGGGAAGGTTGCATTTCCCAAAGCAGGGTCACACCTAGAGATGCATCCAAGTCCTGTTCCCTTCTTACAGTGTGTCATGTTCTCCTCACAAAAGACTGCTGTGAATTTGAAGCAGCCTGAGCTGCACAGTGAGTTCAAGCCCCAACCGAGAGTATGAGGTCTGGCTCCCCAAAAAGAAAAAGAGATGGAGGGAGGGAGGGAGGGAGGGAGCTTGCCTGTGGGATTCTTATTGCAGTGATCAGATTCTCCTCTGAGTTCTGATGACTTTTGATTAATTCAGCCCTTGAGGTGAAGGGTATGGGAGTGGGGGGATGTTTAGGTTTCCCTTTGTATTCAGGCTGCTTCTCCTCTGACTCCTAAGCTATTCTTTTTCCACTGTTGTAACACTGGCTTCTATTTCTCTAAGAATTTATTCCTTTGTTTGTGACAGGGCCTACGTAGCCCAGGCTGGCATAGAACTCACTATGTAGCTGGGGCTGACCTTGAATGACTGATCCTCCTGCCTCCATCTCCCTCTCCAGTTGCTGGCTTAACAGGTGTGCTCCACCATGCCTGGTCCGGTTAAGTATGTTAATACCATTTCCAGGCCTGTCTCTGTCCCATCCAGATGATTGCTTTTTAAGTTGACTGCACTTTCCAAAAGTTAGTTCACTGGATTGGACAATGATACGATCCCCTGAAGGTCTGACTCAATCTTCATGGGCATGCAATATCTCAATATGGATGCTTTATTTATTTATTTATTTATTTATTTATTTATTTATTTATTTATTGTTATCTAATTCCTAGGTTGAGTTGCAATGGCTTTTAGTGAACAGAGGTGGGTGATCCATGGTTTTGTTATGTCCTGGTGCAGCCAGGGTTCAATGGTTCTTTGCTAATGACTGGGTAAAACATCGGCAAGCCACCCGTGCCTAACAGCCCTGATTTTGAATGAGGTTTAGGGAGAAAGAACAAAAAAATGTTTAAAACAGAGTCAGGCTTTATTTGAAGGTACATGGATCTTCATGGCATGTCTGGGAATCAGCTGATGTCTGCTTCAGGCCCTGGATGCTGTGAGGTGTGTCTTGACAGCATGCATGGTAGGAGCAGGAGTAAGCATGATTGAGATATCAAATCCATTTCCTCACATATACCTTCATTATATTGAAATAATGTAGTGCCTGATGCCGGGAGGAGTGTTTCAATTTGCTTAGAACAAAATCATGAAGTCTATGCTGCAGATCTGACTCAGAAAGAGCTGCAGGCACACTGGCTGGCCCTGCCTGTCGCCCTTCATCCCTGAAGGGAATTCATTATCTGTTGTCCAGTAGGAAATGAAGCATGGCATAGATGGCTGTTTGTTTGGATTTTTCCACATCAAGCTGGTTGCTTTTCCGACCTGAAAGCCTCCCCAAGCTGTTCGGTTCTAGTGTTCTTCCTTCTGTACAATCAAGCAACAGCTGAGATTATGTGGTTGGGAGTTCACTCAGAGTTCCCTTCACCCTTCTGGTTGCTTGCTGCTCATGGGAAAGTCATTTCTCAGGGCCTGTGTCTCAGAGGAGGCTAGTCGAATCACAGTCATGGGCCCTTTGTGAATGACATCCTACTGCTGAGGATACATGTAACAGAAACCTGGGCATGAATTAGACTCTCAGCCTATGGCAGTTGCTATTGAATCTAGAATCTCAGAGCTACCAGAATCCTATCAGACATTTCTGATTTTATAAAGAGGCCACTGCAGGCCAGAACAGTGAGGTGACTTACTCAAGGTGGCCTCATTAGCTTGAGTAGAGTCCCATAAACAGAACCAAGGTTATTTAAACCCCAGAAATAACACTGCTAAGCATGGAGACAAATTTGTTTCAGTCGACTCAGAAAGTTTGGAGCTGTTGATAATT